AAGATGGTTTGGGTATACGGATTGCATGTCATGTGAGCCGATGGAGGAGGTCAAGGGCTGCCCAGACACATGGGCACATCTATACCAGCAGTACTGTTTCCTCTCTGAGATGGAGTGGGGTACCTTCAGTTCATCACCCCTCTAGAAAAGCTAATCCCGATAACAGATTTAATTTTCAGTTTACTGCTAGCAGCTGTGTGCAAAGAATGCTCTGTATGGAATCTGTAGGAAAATAGAAGGGGAAGGAATTCAGCAGCTGCAGGTGCGAGGTGTTTCAGGAGACCTACTGGAGCAACACTTAGGGACCAAGGGAGCTTGGCCACAAATTGTGTTTTCCCGCCCTGTGTTTGTGGATTCTGTGTTATTCTGCTGCTTTATGCCTTGGGATGAATGCTGTGGCTGGAGTTCTCCATTTCCGCTTGGCTCCCTCCAACTGGCTTTGAGGAAGTCACTATATTTTTTGATTGTTGTAAGTATTGCCTTGGGCCAATTTATAGATTGCCAGGGTGGAGAGCGGAGGTGGCATTAGGAGGTGGTGCTGCAAGGTCTCTGGCTATGCTTGCCCAGCCTGATGTTTGGATAAGAGGTGCCTTTGAAACTTTCCTCTCACCTGAGCCAACTGCCCCCCACATAAACCCATTAGATTCAGGTTACGGTGCCAGCCCTATCTCTATTCCATCTTGGCTGCTTTCTCCACAGCCAGTTGCTCACACATGCAAGACCTCGCACCCTCAGGATTGGAAGGAGGGATGGGCTTGCCAGTGTGTGNNNGTGTGTGTGTGTGTGTGTGTGTGTGTGTGTGTGTGTGTGTGTGTGTGTGTGTGTGTGTGTGTGTGTGTGTGTGTGTGTGTGTGTGTGTGTGTGTGTGTGTGTTATTACAGAGAATACTTTTGAAGACAAGGTTTATTTTGAGGAGGAGCTGTGGGGAAGTTGTTAGTCTCTGACTGCAGAGGCATGATAATTTCCGGGACAGTTCTGCATAACAAAGGGTGAAGTTTTCTTCCTTTGATCCGCCGTCGCTAGACCCTACATTGCACACCTGTCGCTGCGAATTGTCTCTACCAGACACAGGAAGAGGATCCAGTATCTCTGGAGTGCCCCCTAACGGGCTGACATTAAATAGCTTGGGATCTTCCCTTGAGCTGACTCTTTCTCCATGGGGAGAAGAGCTGCACACTAAAAAACTATTTTAATGTGAATTAGATTTCCCATAATCTTCTATACTTGTGTGAAGCTGCCTCATTCCTAATCAGACCTTTTGGACATGTAACCCAGTTCTATCTCTCTTCACTATGGCAGTGGCTTTTTGTAGTCCTAAGAAGTGAAACTCTCTTCAGTAGCACAAAATTCTGTGTATTTACTTGGCTGAAATTTGGTAGGAATAATCAATCCACTCCTAAGGTACTACTGTGTCAGCAATGTCATTAAATTCTAATTAACATAAAAGGTAATTTGTGGATGGCAATTATCAACTATGATAGTTAATGGTAAACAGATTTTGATTTTATTTCAGCCAAACCAGACTGTTTTCTGAACCACTAAATAGGAGTCTGAACTATCTCAGGCTCAACATTTGCACATGACAATATTTACATATTTTTTTAAAAAACACAAGGACCAAAAAAGGAGGGTGGGATCTAATGGGATCAGCCCACTCTCATAAGTATGTCTGATGAGGACCTGAAAGAGAACTATTTCTGTGGCTGATCCTAGGGCATGGCACTCCTATCCTCAGGAGGTCTGGCTTGGGCTTGGCCCCTTCCCTCATTCCTTGCATTGGCAGATGAAAAAAAAGCCACTTTAGGAAGGGTTTTAAGGAGCCAGGAGGAAACTGAGATTTATTTATTTATAAAATAGTTTTAAACATAATGAATTAACTTTAAGTAATTGTTGATTTTCAGGTTTTTTTGTATGTTATCTTGGGTCTCCACTACAGGGGAAAGGTGGGATAAAATTCAAATAAAATAAAATATGTGATAAAATTAATCTCCTGCGCAACAAAGACCCTAAAGCAGCCTTTCTCTTCTTCTTGGTGTGAGATTGTGCAAATTATAGTTCGAAGCATTTGGAAGACATGAGGTTGGAAAGGGTTGTTCTATAGTGTTGTGGGCTTTATGGAGTGAGGAATTTCTACTCACAAAAGCCTTGGAAAAGTTGAACATTCTTCATGAACAGCAAGTCACCACTTAGGGCTGCTGTTCATGAAAGAGGAATATGCATGAATCCCTTTAGTCTCCCTTGGAATCACTTCCAACTCCCCTTTTTGGAGGAGCGGTGGTTGCTTGTTGCTGAAGCAGGTCAAAGGTCCAGGGAAATATTCTCCAAAAGTCCAAAATAATTAATGCTCTTTTTAAAAAAATCATAGTCCAAGTCCAGCACTGATGAGATTGTGAAACAGGTGGTAAACATTGTTGCACCCCATGTCTCTTGGTGCAGCAGCCACTGCAAAGTGAGATTCATGATTTTTACAGTATTTTTGACCGTCAGGACTAGATTTATTTCCAGTTAGAAATGGTGTGATTTTGCCTGCTCTCTGTCAGATATCACAAAGGATGCAGCACCACCTGCTTTCCTTTGCTTACATATGCATGGAGCTTCAGGTTCCAGAGAGGTAGCCATGCTAGACCGCTGCAGCAAGAACAGCATCAAATCTTTTTCTGGCATTTTGAAGACTCATTGTTTTATTCTTGCATAGCCTCCCGCAGATTATGTTCCACTTCTGATGAAGCACATAGAACCATACACTATGATGATTTTTTTAAAAAAAAAAATAATGTTCAGTGAGGCTTAGGGAGGCAAATTGTTCTGCAGCATTCTTGAGAAAAGGATGTTCCTTTTAGTCAGAACAAACAGAAAATAACCTATGAAAGCCTTTTTCCCCTCACTAGTTAATTTTTAAACACACACACACCCAACAAGTCTAAACTGTTCAGATTTTTGCATGGGAGAAAGACACTGCAGAAACTAAGATGCACTTTCTTCTTTCTACAGGATTTAGATATTTTAGTGAGCTCTTGCCACAAATTCAGCACTGAGAGTTGGAAGTCTTTGAAGGAAAGTAAGCAAATTGTAGAGAGATCTTAACAGCTTCTTTGTCTGTATATGTATTTGGGTTGGAATTGATGATTAGCCATGAAAGAAAGGGGAAGAGCTTTCTTGTTCCCACTTCAGAGTACTCTTCCTCTTCTTCCTGCTCCTCTTTTCTTTCCTCTATTGATAGTCAGGACTGATCTAAGTGCAATGCTGAAAGCATTCTTCAGGACATAACTCTTACTTTACATGCAATTCCCAAATGTGTTGTTGATCTTAACATCCTGACCGTCCAAGGTGGTTTAGCTTCTGGATTACAGCCCTAAATATATCACCAATAGTTTGGTCTGCTTTTCTTTCAACAGCCCGGCTTGTGGGCCTTGTTTGAGTGGGTAGGACTAGCCTCGGAGCCTGTGTGCATTTAATGAGTGGACATAGCCCATGAAAGCTTATTCTGTAGAAAATATGTTAACGTTTAAGGCAGAGGGGGCCCAGGATCAAGACAGGAAGTGCTCTCCTGAAGTTTCTGAGTGAGCCTGCCCCCTCCCCTAGGGTTGGTCCACACAAGGCTCTTTGTCGTTTTCATTACTGGCAGTGCTGAACCCTGTGATATGCATAGTAATAACGATCAGAAAACCTCTGAGATTTGTTGAGAGTCAGGTAGTACTGGATCTGCTTTCCAAGTTCTGTGTTCACCTATGGGTGGATCTCTAGAATGGGTGGAAAGTGCCCTCTTCACCCAACTCACCTTGCATACCATGACGCCCACCTCTACTTCTTGCTCAGGCTGAAAGCCAACGTCAAGGGCCCCGCTAGCTATACTAATGCCAGGGACGAAGAAAAAGAAGGACAAATGGCAACGAGTTACGCAGTTATAACCGCCACCGTTATTGCCAGATCTTTATTAGAGCAATCCCAAAAGCTGAATTATTTATCCTACTAAAGATGCCACCCTGGTTGGGATACTGGAATTTGTTTTGTGTCAGCCAGGCCACCCTTTGCATTTACAGTACTTGACATTTCAGCTCCTGTGGCAAAAGGAAAGCTGTAACTGGAAAGCTTGCTGCAAGACCATTGCTGAAAGCATTTCACTCTTCTGAAGCTTCCTTTTCCAATCTTGCCCTTCTCACAGGTTGCCAGGCCTCCCTTTCGGACCGACCTGTCTCCCTCACACACATCCTTTGATGTAAAGACAAAAATAGTCACGGGATCCATTCATAGCTGCAAAGATCTGGGTTAGGCAGTACCTTCATTGGGTCACTATGATGTTACACATAAGGTGAACTCACATCAGGCCCAGTCTGGGAACTTTCTGCCCGAGCCTCAAGTTTTCCATCAGCTTTGATTGTCTTGGAGAAACTGAAAGCTTGCTGTAGTTACAACCTGTTAGAGATCCCATAGAGGTAGTGCCTAACTTAGAACCTTCTTCCTTTGATATATAGATATTATCCCTCTCATTGAGCCCTGGTCAGGAAGAATGTGAGGAGTTTCCGCCGGTCACCCAGTGCCTCTGAGCGTGTGCAAAGTGTGACTGGTCGCTGTGCCTTTTGTGCACTCCTTCTCTGAGGACGACAACCCAGTGCGCAGCTCCGGGTGTGTGTATGTGTGTGTGTGTGTGCCCCTGCCTGCCTGGGACAACCCAGTGCCCAGCTCCGGGTGTGTGTGTGTGTGTGCCCCTGCCTGCCTGGAGGCACCGAGCCCCCCTTTCCCCTCGCCGGGACGTCCGAGACGCCTATCGGAGCGGGAAAGCCACAGTTCGGGAGGCCAGCGATTGCCGAAAGGCTCCTGCCCGGGGACTGGCGGGAGGAGGCCTTTGTGGGCCGGCGGGGGCGAGTGCGGAGGGAGGGAGGCGGGCGGCCGGGCGCGCAGCGACGAGCTTC